GGATAGAGGCAGCGTAGGCAGCCAAACTCGCCCCGGAACTCACTCCGGAATTCATTGGAACACACCGGACCTTGGAGCTTACTCCGAAACGGGTGCAAGAAAACGGCAGCCGCCGCACTGTTGCTACTGCAGCTATTGCTGGGTTCTTACTCGGCTCCTACTACCACTACTGCTGCTACATGGCTGCTACTACAGGTACGTAGGATCACCAGTACAAGTAAATCAGTCCGCCTGACGTTTGTGAACTTTGCGTTTGTCACTGCCCGGCACGTCCGTCTCTCTTCTTGTGAAGTGAATCTGCACGACAGCTCGAGTACGAACTGATCAAGAAAAGCAGTCTGAGTCTGGTGTAGGCCGTCGCGGTCGGCGCGATTGGGGGGCTGACAGAGGCTCGGCACAAGGCCGACAATGTCTGTTCACCACGCTTTGTCACTGAGAATTGGACAGCGATGCGCAAGATCGCAGGTCCTGAGGCTGCGAGAGCAAGTGGGAGCTCTGGCTGCGCACTGCCCTTTGGCTTCATAGCATGGTTGGGTTCTTGTTTCAGGGAGAAGCCGATCAACAGAATCGCGAGGCGACAGGCTGGAAAAAGCCGCTGGGTTGTTTGGGAATCACCCGCTATCCGACGATTGCCTTGGCTGTGTTCTCAGATGATGTTCAGGTTTCCGAGCAGAGTATATGCAAAAAGTCAATCGAGGTCCAGCTCATGTTCTGGCAATGAAAGCCGCTGTCCAACAGCCGATCTGCTTAGTGCCAGATGTTGATGAACTCTGTTGATCGATTGCATGATCTGTACGTGAGAGGTTGCATGGCAACGCCAGCGAAGAGGCAGCTTCCTGCAGCCAAAAATCCCAACGCCAGTGCCACACTTGGGCGTTGCGCGTGTGTAAGCAACAACCTCCTGAGCTTGCAGGTGGGCGATGTCTCTCACAGGTCTTCCAGCTCAAACCCTGCAGATGATGCTGTGAACCGGTTTGGTGCCAAGAAAGCTATCACTCGTGACATGTCCCTGTCAGACAAGAGTTCCTTGTCAGGATGCAGTCTTGGGTGGACGACCTGGAAAAACGCACACGTGCGAAGGAACCGCGAGCTGTGAGCGAAGGCTGGATCCTGCGTGACATGCTCAGGATCGATGAGGTGTGTCGCATGAGATGATAGGTTGTGGCTGCCCAGTGGCTGAAGACCAATCTGAATCGATGCGGGCTTCGGTGGCCCCAGGCCACTTTGATCAGAAGCGAGGTTTTACTCGAATTTGTTATGATCTGACCAGTTGGCGCAGGGCACGTCGCGGCAAGTGTGAGCCGTGCGGACGAGGGTGCCGGTCCAGACGTTGTAGGGTCCTTGCTGAAATCGGTGTCAGTCTCTTCTGTTTGAAAGCTGTGGATCACAAGGCAGCTTCGACGTGCAATTCATTGACGGAGTTCGCAGCTCAGTTTTGCGATGACATGTGGCCAGTATGAGATGTGTAAGAAGTCGGCTTTGTCGGCATCAGAGGCCACACCTGCCTTTTTGGCCCAGCTGGTGGGTCGAGCCGTTTGGCACCTCGACCTGGTTGTGTCCTGGTATCTGCTGGGAGGGCGGGCAGCGAGTGCATCCAATTTTGAGGCGCGACTTCATCGACACGGGCTTTGTCCACTCCTGCTTGTTAGGACAAGAGTCTTTAGCTTAGCTTTCGTTGCTCGAATGCTTGAAGCAACGAAGGGATGACACAGATGTTCAGGAGAGGCGTTTAAAGAGGCAACATCTTCCAGGAATGCGGCTCATGGGCCCCCGTCGAAATTGACGGGCAGCCCACTTCCGCCTTCATCCTGCATCATAGAATTGGCTAAAGGCCTTCTCTTCATGCGCAAAGATACGCTGAATGTGCATGATACTTTATTATGTAGTGGAAGAACAGATTTGCTGCTTCTTTGGGCTGTCTGCAGTTCCCTCAGGGAATATCACACAGCTCAAGCTCATGCAGCCATGAGCCTGCGAGATGCAAAAACCAGAGCATGTTTGCATCTGCATGGAGGATTGCAAGAGCTTTTCGGAAGATCTCTTTGCCGATTGCAAAGAGCAGGTCCTGGCTCAGCCAGGATGTGGGCCACGGGCCGCGTGGGCGGCAGCGGGCCGCCGCGGGCCGCCGGCTGATGGGCGCTCCCCCGAGACGCGGTTGTGAGGTTTTGACATGGCCGCTGCACAGAACTGTAGTATTTTTCCAATGATACAGTCTGATGCAATCTTTGTGTGTGAAATCATGCTCGTCGAGCCTGCGTTGCACTTCGAAAAAAGTCCCGATTGCGGATGCAACATTTGTTAGTCAAAGTGAGCCTGCAAATGAAACCCGCTGTCTTGGACGAACCGCTTGTTGAGTTTCGTTGCTTTTAAAGACGTGTGCTCCATCACTGAAGCGAGGGGCTGCTGACTGCCACAAGAAGCAGCTTGTTTGTTGACTGAACGTGATAGTCTGACACGACAGTCATACAGTGAATCGCATGAACTTGAAGGCACGTTGATCTGAGCTTGGCCATCGTTCGGAGCCGCGAAAGTCCTAGCAGGACTACACTATTCGGCTTCTCGGGATTGCTTGGTGTGCTCTCGAAAACCAGCAGTTTTCAGTAGCCTTTGAATGTTCGAAATCATGTTTCCCGCGTCTCCAGACATCGTGCTACCAGCAAAACCAGGTGCAGAGTTTGCAAAAATTTGAGGTGCGACTCATGTGCCTGCCACGTTTTGGACCTGTAGGCTAGTCTTGGGAGCCTGAGGGTGTGCCTTTGGCATTGTTGTTTTCTTGGTTTCGCTCTCTGGCGTTCGATGCTGGCACAGTCATCTTCTTTTGTCTGTCTGTCTGTCTAGTTGGACCAGATTTGGACTGCACAGGGCAGAGGCCCGAGCATGAGTTGCCAAGGGCTGGCCACTTCCTGTGCCAGCAGCTCACCAAGCTCTTCCAGGCTCCTTTTGTTTTGCAGGAAGCTGTGGCGGCCCAAACAGGATGAGCAGGCTTCGGCAGGCTTCCTTTCTTCGGTGCACGAAGCTCCCCTGTGACCCTAGTGAGGCACAAACCGTTGTGCTCCAAGTGGGCCTTGGGAGGCCGAATGGAGGCGACTGTCGGACAGAAGCTGCTCGGGACCAAGTGTCACTGGGTACGTTTAAAGAGTCTCAGCTTCATGGCTCCGGTTGCACCCGTTCCTTTCGGGCTGATTACCCTCCGGGGCTGTCTATACGCCATAGACAGCAGGCACAGCAAGATTCACACGTGCTGTCACAGGTCCTTGCTTGTAGCCAGCAGTGTGCGGGCCCTGAAGCATCGGATGACAGATGCTACTAGCAATGAACGAGTTGTTGGTGGCCCTCAGAGGTTCGAAGGAGAGCACGCGAAGCATGAAGGGCTTCCATGAGCCCCGCCGGCTCAACCTTGTCCATCTGTCGGCAATTTTGAGTTTTGGTCCAAAGTTCTTCTGCCAGGGTCAAGACGACGTCGCTGCAATCTTAGATTCGATTCGATGGAGTAGCCTTTGAAAGAGGGCTTCAGGCTGGGGAGAAGCATGTGAGGTGGACACCTGCTCAAAGCAAGAAGCAACTTCAGCAGGCAGAAGCGGCAAAAGTCCGGCGAATCAAGTAGCTGACAATGTGGGAACATGCGGAATGCGTATCCAACGGCAGTTTCGTCGCATGCACGTACAGGGAGTCATTCTCCAGCTTGCAAGATGCGTGCCCACTGATCTGACAGGCCCAGCGTGTAGTAGTCCTGGCCCAAGATGTTAATGGAATCTCGGCCGAGATATGTTTGCTGATTTTGTATGCCACTCTCTGCATTGAGGATCAAACCTTGCAGATCTTGGCCATGGGCGTTCCTGTTCGAGTTCCACGGAAGGCAGAGTTCCCTTTCCCGTGCTTGCATGTTGGTGGCACTGAGATTGAAAATTCTATCTTCAGGATGCAGACTACAGGCTGGGCATTTCCCAGGACCCTTTGTGATGCGTTTCGTTGTCAGTTCGCCCGCGCGGACTTTCCAGGACTGCAAGACGTTGGAGCTGCACGTGGGAGCTGAAACAGGCACGGACAAGCCACTTCCACAAATGCAGCTCATTGCTGAGAATGCTTCTTCTGACCGAGGGCAGCGGCAGCAGGTACGGATGCCCCTGAGCCAGGTGGCGCCCTAGTAGCCCCAGTGCATCCCAACCGCACCTACGGTAGTGATGTCCAATGGCAGGTTGTGGACATCAGCTTTGGGGCGAGCCAAGACAGCCTGGTGCTGCGCTTCAGCGATGTCTTGTGCAGGCTTTGCTGAGGGACCGTGTTAGCACCTTTCCTTCCTCCCTTCACCTGCGAGGGAGGCAATGGAGCTGAGCTTCTTGGACGAGGATCAGCGCTTGCAGGCGGGTGTAAATCGGTCCTTGCCGCTTGGCCTTGATTCAACGGGCTGAGGTGGCTTTGACACTGAAGGTGCTCAGAGCGAGGTTGCAGTGATGCCCACTCTTTTTCTGTCGCAAAGCTGACAGAGTGACATGACGGGAGCAGCGACAGAAAGAATGGCTAAGCGGCTAAGAGAGTGCTGAGCTAAGCTAACTTCGGATCTCTTCGCTTCTTCTTTCGACTCTGCCTTTTCTGGTATAATTATACTTCGGAAGCGCAGCATAGGACCCACACAGGCCCAAAAGCCCGTCTCCTGCGGTGTAGTGGCGTATTTGTGTTGTGTGGCGTTGGCGTTGTGGAGATTCGGCCGAACCGACGGGCACCGCGGAGGGGCCCCGTGAAAGGAGTCTAACCACATGCTGACAAGAACCGTCCAACGAAACAGATGGCATATTTTGCAATCGGTCGAGTCGGAGCTAGTCGCTTCTTCTAAGTGGGCATGATACTGTCAGGTAAGGTGCATCCAACCTTTGCCAACCAGTTTGGCTCAGAACGGCTTGGTCTTGCAACACGGTTTCCGTCCTTTGCAAAAGCTAAGTCACCAGCCTTCACTGAGTCCTCTTCTTTGTTGTAGCAGCTCAATGCTGGCCACAGGGGGCTGAATGGTTCGTGCAAACCTCGCCGTCAGGTTCTTTTGGGGCGGCATTGTAGCCCTAGCCCAGGTGCCGACGGAGTTGCCAGGACTTGTCGCCTTCTTTGACGTGGACCTGGATTTGCACCAAATTGAGGGCGTGTTGTCCTTCGTCAAGGCATCATCTGAAGTGAACATTGACAGCTACAAGGTCTACTGGGGCTCGTCGCCCACTATTAAACTTTTGCCATTCTTTGATCTGCCTGCGACAGGTTTTGCGCCCTCGTACAATGTCCCGACAGGCACAGCAATCCCGTCAGTTTCCGGAGTCTTTGCAACTCACTTCCTTGTATACAGCTCCAATTCATTTGGAGAGAGCGCGACGGCCTCCAGTTTGGCATTCACAGACCGCTATGTGCCTGCGCAGGGGCCCAGCGGGGTTTCCTTTTCAGACACAGATTTTAAGTACGGCGAGGTCACAGGGACGATCACCATTGCAAGAGCACCGAGTGAGTCAGACGTGACTAACTATGTCCTTTACTGGGGATCCTCACCCACCAGCTACCTGCTGTACATTGCCTCGCTTCCCATTGCGACGAACCCGCTAGTATTCCCGCTTGCATCTGCAGTAATTCCCAGCGGTGGCACGCACATTCTTGCATATACCATGAATGCAGATGGGCTTAACGAGGCATCCATCGCGAGCACTTTCGTCTATGACCAGGCGATTCCAGAGCATCCTCCAACTTCTTTGACCTTCGTCGACCTGGATCTGGTTAAAGGCGAATTAGGAGGATTCATTACCGTGGGCGCAGCCACGGATGAAAGCATCATTACGTCATATGCCATCTATTTTGCAGTAGCTGCAACTGGTCCACCGGGTCCAATAATAGGAACTGCAACTGCAACTGGAAGCGATACTGCATATTTCTTGCCGACGGACACTTTAACATTGCCGGGCTATCCGTATCTGTTTGTACGCAGCAGAGGTACGGACGGAGAGATGACGACTGGCATAGGTGTTCTCGCCGTCGACAGATACGTTCCTGTGCATCCGGCTCAGTCAATTTCATTCACCGACGAAGACCTGCTCGGAGGTCAGATTGCCGGCACTATCGAGATTACATCTGCTGCAGATGAAACTGACATTTCCAAGTATGGTATTTACTTCGCTGATTCCTTCCAACAGCCGCTGACGCTGATTGCAGAACTTCTGCAAGGTCCCCTCAGTCCCAACCATACACTGCCTGCAGGAACTGCGATACCGAGCCAAGCACAGCACCTCCTGGTTCTCAGCGGCAATGACGATGGTTACATGACGACCGGTGTTGCAATGGTGCTCGTCGACTTAGCCTTGCCCGTAAATCCCCCTGCCCAGCTTCAGTTTGATGATATTGATATGGACGGTGGACAAATTGGGGGTTCTCTTACCGTGATGCGTGCCAGTGACGAGAGTGATGTGACTGCATACACTGCATACTATGGCAGCTCTGCCGTCGCCGACGCATCTGCACAGATACTGCTGCTTGGAGAAATAGCAGTTTCAAGTCTTCCGCTTGGCAGCACAGCAGCGACCTTCACAATTTCAACAAACACAGCTCCACCTGGTGCAGCCACTCATTTCCTCGCATTTAGCAAGAACGCTTTGGGCGAGGCTCCATCCGGCATCAGCACCGCCTTGGTAGACAAGACAAACGTTTTTCCAACCGTTTCGGTCGGCAGCGTCTCCTTCGTCGATGTCGATGTGTCCGTTAATTTGGTCGGCGGCTCCATAACTTGGCTAGCTCCAGCAGATACAACAGGTCTCACTCACTACTCGGTGGTCTTGGCCTTGGATGCTGCTGGCACTGGACGGCAAGTTGTTTGCTCGAGCATCGCTATCGGCTTTTCAAGCTGTGTTGTGGGCCTGGGCACATCGCTTGGCAGCGGGTCATTCAAGTTGACGCACATAATCGTCTATACGAACAACGGCTTTGGTGAAGGACCGGGGCAAGCCGCTCTAATTGTTGATCGGGCGTTGCCAGACTCGCTGGTATCCGCGGTGACTTTTTCTGATACTGATGCTAATGTTGGTTCTGTGGGTGGAGCGGTTTCCTGGACCCCTCCAACCAATCCTACCGATGCTTCCCAGTTCACAGACTACACGGTTTACTTTGCGGATGTTGCAGTCGCTCCGTCTGATTCCATATTGCTTGGACAAGTGGCTTTCGGGACCAACACTTTAAGTGTGCCCGCTGGGCAAAGCCTTGCCAACTTTTCCTTCGTGTTTGTCTACACTAAGAACTCAGCAGGAGAGGCACTGTCCGGTAGCTACTCTGCAATCGTGGACCGATTCTTGCCGCGCTTCGTGGTGCGGAATTTGTTCTTCTGGGACCAGGATCTGACTATTGACGAAATCGGCGGTGACCTTTCGTGGCTCGAGCCTGACGACGTTTCATCCATCGATGCTTACAGAATCAAGATAAAATGTGTCAGTGATCAGGTTTTCGTTCTGGGGCAGGTAGCAGTTGGGTCCACTCGCTTTCAGATCCCTTTCAATACTCCTCTGGCCAATTGCACGGACCTGGTGGTGGTTGCCGTCAATGCCATCGGAGAGTCTTCTGTGAATGTCACCACCGTTATCGAAGATAACTCCTTGTCCAGTTGTCCAAACGAGACCAGCCACAGTTTCCGGTCCAGTAGTTGGCGCATGGTGGCTTATAGCGAGGTTTCTCATGCTTGGCGGATTCAGAGTGTTGGTTTCTACAAGGACCCGATGTGCTCTGAGCAGTTGGAAGCTGTGCCTTTCGACTGGCCTCGGCGTCCTCGCCTGCTGACTGGTGCTCCCTTCTCCCTTCCGCCTGATCCACGAAATCTGCACGAAATCTTCAAGACTGGAGCTCCGCGAGGCAGGGGAAGCAAACCTGCTTTCTAGCCTGGCAACAGTAACAGCAAAGCCGGCCTTGGGGGGAAAAGTTCACTTGATATCGGATGCATTAATTGAGACTGGTCTGTGTCAGCTCCGGTGGAGGTCTCTGTCGCGCCAAATTGCTAAGGACCGGGCCCAAATCTTGTACATAAGTCTGACCGTAGCAGGAGAGCAGACAAGTCAATGTTGGCCCCGCCTTCAGGCTTCTCTTGGCAAGACAATGCGTCGCAAGCTGAAAGCTTGCCTTGGTGGTCTTCAGGTACTCCGTGTCCAGCCTACGAGCCGAACATCTCTGCGGAGCCTGCATGTGCTGTCGGTTTCCGATGGGAGTCTGATGTTTTGGGCCGCGGACGGAGTATGGGCTCAACAGGCCGGGTGGAGAAGTCGCTCTATGCAGTACATTGTGTGGAGATCGTGCAATCAAGCAGCCTTGGTGAGTATGCGTCAGAGATTGCGCTTCAGTGGTATGATTCAGGTAGAAACATATATCGGACCTTGCTGAAGAGACAAGTTGGAGGTGGAAAGATAACCATTTCCTACCAAGGTGTCTTGGCAGCGGAATGCCAGGCAAGGCTGTCATAAAGCATTGCACCTAGTGACGCAGACGTAGTACAGACGGTGCGGGGGTTCAGACCGCCGACGACGTCTTGACTTGAGCCCCCGAGCGCATTTTGAGCTTCGGCGGTAGACTGGCTGCTGCTGATAGACGAAAGCTTCCGTTTTGTGAGGTTGCGATATTGAACGCTTGCTATACAGGCTTGGGACAAGCTTTCCCAGGCGAAGGAGTGTCGGGGCTGGCAGGTGCCTTCAAGCTTGCAGGAGCGAAGAGAGTTCTTGCAAGTCAGTGGGCGGTCAGGGACTCTGACAATAAGGATTTGATGAACGAGTTCTATGCACAGCTCAGCAACAAACATGAAGTGGTGCGGCCTTACGACAGACCCAGAAGAAGCTTCGCAATCGAGAGGGTCGAGCTGGATGGCCTTTGTTTTGGGCAGGCCTGCCTCTTATCGGAAATCCAGCAGGTGAAATTTTCAGGACTCCTCAGAGAATTATTCGCCGCGGCTGCAGCAATCCCAGCAAGAAAAAGCAGTCTCAACGTGAGTCCATCGTCTCAGTTGTTTTCGGGACAGTAATCGGTCAGTGCGGTTTGGAGATCCGCATACAGGTCGAAGGTGCGACCCGTCGTTTACTGCACAGAAGTCTTTTCCTCACATGCTCGATCCTGTTGCTGCTAGGCAAAGAATGTTGACATGCAGATTCAGACCTATTGTGTGTTGCGTGTTGGGCCTTTCTTGCCATCCTCTGCAGAAGCAAAGCCATAGCTAATGGACGCCATTCAGTATCATTCAGGTGTGTGTTCATCTTTCGGATAGGCCGCATGAATTGACCGTAGGTGTTGTGCACGTGCAAACCCAATCGGAATAGCATCTGGATGGCAGGCACAAGCGAGACTTGCTGACTGAAGCATTTCTGTCGAGAGAAGAAAAGCAAACTTGCATCTGTAACGAGTTTTTGTGTCCGCAGCTCCCTTTCGGTTGTATCCAAAATGTCGCGTGGTGCTCGCCGCGGTGCAGCGGTGCAGAGCTCTGTTGAGATTACCTTACGAACGAGGCTTTGACCGGCACCCGCTATTCAGACTCGTCTGATATCAGGCGTTGCTGCTGGCAGCTGGCCTTACCCGATGCTTCATTGCACCACAAGCAGGTGGTCTGATATAAAATAACTTTTGTTTTAATTGGTCGCCTGGGCAGGCATAAGGTCGCAGTATTCTGTATCACATAACTCAATGTTTTGCACCCATGAACATGGCGTTCCTTCGAAAGTATTGCGGACATGCACGGTTGACAAACCGCCAGGTGGTGAGCTTCTGAGGCTGGGACCGCGTGCCGTTGCAGCGCCCGTAGTGATCAGTTACCTAGACAATAGGCATGGCCAAACATCTGCAGCGGATCTTGGGCAGTTGGTGCCGTGGCTGCCAATTGTTTGTTGGATAATGCTGTGCAAACATAGCTACTCGTGGCGATGGACCGCACTTTCTTTGGGCCTTGGGCTGTGAGTCTGTACACTGTCTTGTGCAGCTTGACCATCTGTCTAGGTGCTCGCAGCCTCCAGTGCGAATCAGTTGCTCGAAATCGATCGAGTTGTTTTTGTTTCCTTTGGATGTACCGAGGGATTTTACGAATCGTTAGAGGGGTGGTGACCGTGTTGCCACAGTTTGTGGTCTTGTCAGGGCCGCCCTGCCGACAGAGACATTTGGGCCAGATCCGTTCTTCTGGACCTACATCATTGTGTCTGTCCTCCTCATTGGGCTCGGCTTGTTCTTGTTGACCCGGCAGTATTGGGAGAGTCGCTGGCTGATGGAGAAAATCAACGCGCCACTTGCCGGCAAGGGACTCTCATTCGCATTAGCGGCAGATCCAGCTCTCTTTGTGGAAATGCAGACAAGGCAGAAGCTGAAGTTCATCACCCAGGAGCAGGAGGCAAGGGACATTTTTAACCAGTCATGTCAACTCCGCACAGCGAATATGGAATCAGGGCCAAGTGTTGTCGTACTTCAGACTCATCGTCGTGGCGTCATGCAGTCGACGGTAACTTGCGCCTTTTGGACAATGCGGATTGTTCTTGGGCGAACTAAGAGTCCCGTACGGCGTCTTCTCCGTCAGTGTGCTTGTATTCACGGGTCTTAGGATAAGGTTCGACGGGGCTGAAAGGTGCCGGAAAGGTGCACATTGCAGGTGCGGCACTGGCATGGCAGAGCATATACATACATGCATACAGCATTTTATAAAACTACAGGGTGTATACATACCTATGTGTGTATATGTGCATATGTATAGTCGTATACATATATATAGGTTGATATACATATGTAGATACATTTACATGTGTGTATACATATCACGTGTGAATGTCCAAATACTCGTGTGTACGTATCATGTATATGTAGAGCTTTGCAAGGTCATGGAGCACATGCTTGAACATTATTTGCACATGCAGCAGGTCTTTGATGCAATCCAGGCATTTTGGAAGCCATTGCAGTCTGTAGGAAACACAACTACCCGCTTATGTTGAGCGATCGTGCCAAGCATGCGAAGACAGGCCAAAGGACTGCCGACTCTGAGCCAAGCAATCTGACTTGCACTTCGTTTTTCGAGAGTCCGGTTCTGTTTCCGACGATTGCGTTCCAGCGGCCTCGTGTATACGTCGCATGGCTCGATCCTCGCACATGCTTGTCATGAAGCTCATCTGATGCACCGGGCGGTGGAAAGCGTTGGTTTGGTCGGGGGTTACGACCGAGTTTAATGGCCCATTGCATGTCGGGAGTCGGTCTTCACATAGGTTATACATACTTCTGCAGGGCCATGCTCGTCGAACAAAGCTCGAGTGATCCTAAGCAGTGACATTCTTCGTTACTACCGTGTTGAGCAGGTGACACCCCTGGACCAGTTCGAGCTTGGGAGGATGTGACATGCCTCAGTAAAACAATAGACAGCCTTTCAGAAGTGTTTAAGTTCAAGTTACCTGTGGCACATGACCCCAGGTACACCTCATTGAAGGACTTCCCCAGTGCGCTGGCAGAGCCTTCTGGCGGCAAGATGTAGCGGCGCGTTTGGACGTGGGCTCTGCAGAAATCGAAGGTACGAAGAGGTCGAGGAGGACTTTAATGAGGTCGGGGACACCTTGGATCCCGAGGACCCGTGCCGGAGGGGCATATCATCGTGAAAGTGTGCACTTCGTTCTTGCTTCCCCTTGCGAATGCTGCTTCCTGCTTCTAAGCGTTTAAGCTTCTCGTGACTATGTCAGGGCTGTGAACATGTCGAAGTCACTTGTGCTGCTCAATGCTCTGAGGATTCGATGGGGGCCTTGGCGGCGCGGGCCCAGCTTCACAACAGCAAAGGCGTGTTGCAAATACGAGCTCCGGAATATATTGCGACAGTGTCCCTGTATGCAGGCTTTGCCCTCATGAAGTTAGAGCCACCGCGAACTGCTCAAGCAAGGCGAGAGTTTGTCAGAGCAGTCACGTCGCTGCCCCAGCATGCAGCATGTGACGCGTTCTGACTGCATGTTTTTTTGCGCCCAGGTATTGGCCTGAATTCCCAGAGGCATGCTGCCTGTGATACGCTGTATCACCTATTCGCCTATGTAGCCGACCTGGCAGGCCTTGATCAACATTGGAAAAGAGCTCATGAAGCGAAAGCGCTTCGATGTCGCTGCCGCTTCGATTTTTTGGATCGCAGGATGTATGAGTTGCTTCCCCATGGATATCCAACAAGGTCCGCACCCTCAACACGGCATTGAAGTGGCAGCCCGGGAACCAGGAATTCTCGGATTATGCAGAGCAGGCGTGATCATTGTGACGGTTTGAAGATATCAGAATGTTTATGCTTTGCTCTGGCCGTTTTGCTTGCTAGACATGAGGCAGTCGCGCTGAAAACTTCAGATTGTGCTGTTGGCTGCTTCTGTGAGGCAAGGAAAGCGATGGATGGGGAACTATCGAAGGAAGAAATGCAACAAATCGTCGCATAGTTGCAGGACATCTGATATTGCCCTGGGCTACTGGATTATGCTTGCGTGCATGGAAGAAACTTCCGATGCACGTCCGCTGCAGAGCCAGATGTTGCTGAGCTCGCAGCCACAGGCAGCCACAGCCTTGAAGGCTTTGTCAGTGCCTGCACGAGTTTTCGCTGCCGCAGAGTCTGACAATAGTTGGTCAATGAGTTCATACCTTTCAGTAACTTGTTTCCAGGCTCTGTCAGATGTTCTGGGTGGGGCTCTGGTGCGGGAAAGGAACTCGAACCGGAATCAGCGCTGTACTTGTAGATGGGTGATACCAGAGTCTTCGAGCTACGTGTGTGTGTGTGTGACATGCTTCAGTTTTAACGTTTATCCATGCCCAGCCTAAAGACAAGGCATGAAACAGCCACAGGCAGGCTGGCTTAAACCTGGTTCGCCGACAAAAAGGCCAGGGACCTGAAGCGTGCTTCATCCTGCATTGCTCAAGCATGACCCTTCTTGACACTTGCGGTCTCCCATGTGGATTCTATGGCTCACTGCAGGACCCCTAGTGAAAGTCAGCTAAGGGTGTTCAGAGGCGCCGTCGATACAACATTCGGCTATCGCCAGACCTTCACGAGGCCTTTGATGACATCTTTCCGGAAGAGGTTCAATTCTTGCCCTAGATCAACTCTTCAACCATGTTAACAGGCTTGCTGCTGCCTGCACCGTGCCCCTGGAAATAGGATAAGTCATAGAATGGGATGTACAGCATTGAAGCCCCACCTGCGCATTTGACGCAAATGTCCTGAACTGGCTGTGCGATGCAATGTCGTGGCAGCAATCAGAGACCGACTCCTTGACCGATGTGCTTAGCAGCGTACGTACACTGAGACAAGAGGACGACACGACGATGCGAACAGATCGAAGCCCGTCTTCAGCAGGCTTTGCTCGAAGGTTCCTGAGCAAGGAAACTGCTCGCATTATACATGTTGCCGAATACTTGTTCGTGCAAATCAAGTACAGTTTGCAAGTCAGACGGTTGCATAAGAACCTGGTGCACCTCGACGGTCTTCAACGACATGACA